AAGGAATTCAGAGTAACTGAAGGCCATGGTGTTAAAGCAATATTATATGTGAGATTCTCATCCTCCAATTTAGTGCATTTCTAAGTGTACTTCTCCAAATATGTATATTGTAAGCTATTCAAGGATCTATTAAGTTTTTATTGTTATTATAAAGGTGATATACAGAGGGATTACTCTTACATAAGTCAGGTAATAAGTCAAGGAACTATTTTTAAAAGGAAGAAATCTCCTTCTGTATTTCATTTATTATAAAAAAAAACTTGCCATTTTGACAAGGTTTTTGCCCTGCAATTGGTAAACTCATAGGCCAAACTACTTACAACACTACTTGTTCCTCTTGAACAAAACCTATAACCAGTCTACTTAAGTTGCTTCCATCTAAATTTCATCTATAAAAATAATAACAGTACCTACCTTGTGGGCTCTTCAGAAGAATGAACTGAGTTATCAAATGTAAAAACCCTTAAAATGTCCAGCATATGGTAAGTCAATGACAAATATAACTGTACTGAGAAGTGTTTAGTAAGATTCCTAATTTGCTATAAAATTAATAAGAAACTCAGTTCCCCATCCTATTTCATTGATTAAAACTTATTTATTTACATTTTATATATGGCAGTACTGGCCTCTTACTTGCTAAGCAAGTGCTCCACCAACTGGGCGCAACCCAAGTACTTTTTTTTTTTTTTTGGTGGGTCCTGGGGCTTGAACTCTGGGCCTGAGCGCTATCCCTCAGCTCTTTAGCTCAAGGCTAGCACTCTACCACTTGAGCTACAACGCCACTTCCGGTTTTCTGGAGGGTTTATTGGAGAAAAAGAGTTTCACAGACTTTCCTGCCCAGGCTGGCTTTGAACTGTGATCCTCAGATCTCAGCTTCCTGTGTAGCTAGGATTACAGGTGTGACCCACTGGCACCCAGCACCCTACACTTTTGCTTTTAGTATCTTTGTGTTTTGTTTTTGTTGTTACTTATTTTTGTATAATAGGGTCTCATGCTTTTGCTCTGGCTGGTGTGAGACATCCATCCTCCTACCTTCAACTGCCTAGTAACTGGAATTACAGTGCTGTACACCTAGTCCTGATATTTCGATTTCTTAAGACATATTTTGAAACTCCCAGATAAATAAACCCAAGAAAAGGCTAAATTTGATTTCTAAATAGTAACAAAGGAACAGCTCATTTCAAAAGGTCCACATTTATATTTTTTTAAAATTGGCCAACTAACGACCAAAATGTATGATAACCAAGTTAAAAATTCACCATAAGATTAACAGTCAAATTAACAGTTCTCCCTCCTTTTCCTTTGTTCCTTGTACTTTGATAGCCAAATGCTCCATCATTCCATTTCCGATCCTGTGTAACACACAGGAAAACCCTTTGAGATCACACATGACTCACAAATAATTGAACGAAGCAACAGTATCATTTCCATTTAAAACCAAGTTTTAAAATATTTGAGTTGAGCAAAAATATTACTCTCTGTTCTTTCCACAGTGTTGCAATCCCTATGCAACCAAGGTCTCTGCATGCTAAAGAGAATTTGGCTGGCCCACTCACAGCAACACGGGAAGTAAGCTACCCACTGGAGATGCCGATATAGGCTATGGCAGATGAATGCACAGAACAGGGTGGGCATTCTTCAATGCTCCTTGCTCACAGCAGTTGAAATTGCATCAACACCTAGTTTAATGTAGGAGTTAAAAGAATTCTAGAACTAAACTCAAATCTAAGCTCTGCCCCTTGCTAGGTATATGGTCAGGGACAAGTTAGACTCACAGCTTCTTGTCTGTAACACAGGAGTAAAGAATGGGCTTATTGGAAAGATGAACATTTGAGAAACAGTATTTGACACATACTGCCCTACTTCTAATATTATATATGTATATATATATATAAAACAGCCTTGACATTTATGGTATTTCAATTTGTATATGTAAAGATGATTGCAGATTTTAATGTAGGTTTTCTCTGAGCACAATTAAATAAAACATTAATTCAAAATGGTCTTTTAAGTGCTGATGCTGTGAGGAACATACCATCAAGGACATACAACTGCATTGTTTCTTTTTTATGACAAAATTATTTTCTTTTAATAAGTTGTACTAAAAGGCTTCAATTCAATGCATCAATTAGTACAATGAATCCTGATCAATGTCACTCATTATCATTCTCCTTCATCTCTCTCAATCCCACCAATCCTCTCAAATTACCTGGGTCCATTTTCATATATGTACATTGACTGTTATGATTGTATTTGCCCATTGTTATTTTTTTTAATATCTAGACCACAAATCAAGATTAATTTAGACATAGGGGCATTTAAAAGTGCAAAAACATCATGCGTTTTGGTGTTCTCTAGATATCCAAAAGGCTCACAATTTTGAAAGTTTAAGGGAATGTCCATCTAATGAAATAGCAAAACTCTAACAATAAATATAGCAAGCATAAACATTCTGATTTGTGGGAGAGAATGTCCCTTTAAAAATTTAAAATATTCCCACTGCTCTCCATATAGGTTAAGTGGTACAAAACAAATAGGAAGCTGACTTGCTAAGTCTCATTCTATTTCATTCATTTTTAACAATGTTTGCATTGGAGCTTCCTTCAGAGTTGAAAACACCCAAGCACTAATCACTCTTTTCCAATCTTAGACTAATGCATTGTCTCACACCAACTGTTAAAAAATGCTCTAAGCCAAAATGTGTCCGGGGTCCATTACAAGCCTGCATTTAGATGCACACTGAAATACTTGTAAGAGTTGAGATTTTTAAATGATCATCTACAGCAGGCACACACACAACACAGGCAGTCTAGCCATAATTAGATATATCATACTGTCACAATGTCATAAGTCACAATCAGTATGCCATAATCACTTTGCAAATGAACTCAAATATTACTTTATTGTAACAGTAAAGCTGGAAACCTCTGGTTCTTCAGTTTCACTGTTCATTTTCAAGCAAGACACTGATTTGCTGTGTAGCCAGTGCTTTCCAAATTATCCCTATCATTAATTAATTCAGTGGAAGCTACTGAGAAAAAGGCTGACAACAGAAACTTCCTACTTGAAAATTGTACTATGTAAGGAGGTTCTACTCAGGAACATTCTCCATGTGTTCTCACTGTCTTCCAGGCAGGAAAAGTTTCTCAGAAAAAAAAAATCCTATGAACAGCAGTAAGCCTCTGTTATTTTGTGTTAGGTGTGAGAAAAAACAGGCTGAAATAAAAGTGGAGAAACTAAATGGTTTGAAAACTAAGACTCTTGGGTATAGGTTCCAATGTATTATGGTAAAGGAACCAATTTAACTCTTGCTCTTGAAATTGGGGGACATTTTGTGCTTTGTGGGAGGTGGTGAGTGAGCTATAGGAGGAAAGTAATATGCTGATTCTCAATGCCAAGAAAAGTTTTTAAAAATATCCACTACACCAGGCGCTGGTGGCTCACGTCTGTCATCCTAGTTACTCGGGAGGCTGAGATCTGAGGATCCGCGGTCCATGGCCAGCTGGGCAGGGAAGTCTGTTAGACTCTTATCTCCAATTAGCCATCAGAAAACTGGAAGTGGAGCTATGACTCAACATAGTAGAGAGCTAGCCTGGAGCAAAAACAGCTCAGGGACAGCGCCCAGGCCCTGAGTTGAAGCCCCCTGATTGATGCCCCCCCAAAATCAAATATATTCCCTATTAATGAATATACACCCCCTCACCCCCTTGGAGAAGATCTGGGTTTGAAATCCCGGTGGTGTCAGTGTTGCCCCTAGAGAACCCCACCACGGACGCATCTCCTTCGTTCTTTTTAATAGTCCTTCTTTCCTTCCTTCTGGTCAATGCAGTGTTGGAGGGACAAAAATAAAAACAGATAAATAAAAGGACCACACTTGCACACAACTTAGGCACTGGCCAGAGAACACCACCCTTCCCCCCCCCCACCTCCATCTCTCATTTAGCAATGACCTAGGGGTCGGCGGGGACACTGGCGGGCAGGAGGGGGCGGTGAACCGTCAGCCCCAAAGCCTCGGGGTTCCTCCCAGCCACCGAGGTCTCCACCAGCTTCCCAGATGGGTCTCCCCGGGTAAGCCCGCCGCACCATACCCCGACCCCCCGGCCAGGAGGCGCTCTCCAGGGGCCCGGCAGCCCGCGCCCCGCCCCCCACGCCGGCCCGGCCCGGCCCCGCCGCCCGCCGCGCTCGCCAGCGGTGCGCCGCCCGCCGGGGTTACTCGCGGTCATTCCTCCGCACCACCCGGGCCGAGCCAGAGGCTGCGCCCCCGCCCCCCCCCCGAGATGTGCAGCCCAAAGCAGGCAGGTGGGGGCAGAGATGGGGAAGAGGAGGGAGGGGAGCACCCCAGCGCCGGCTCCCCACCGGATTCTCTGAAGTTGTCCGCCCGGGCAGGCTCGGGTGAGCCCCGCAGGAGACCCTCCAGTCGGACCTCGCCTCCCAGGTCAAACAGAAAAAGCCTCCGGGCTTCACAGAGCGACCCCACCGGGGGCACTTTCCACTCGAGTTCTTCGGGCACCCGTCTCGGGGCGCGCGGAGCCCACCCAGCTCCAGGTCCGAGACCCCACACTCGCTCAAGAAAGGAGCAGCGAGCACGCGCGTGGCTGCCTTTAGTCCTGGGCCCAACGCTGGCTCCCCAGCTTAGTTCGAGGGGTCCCACACCGAGGGACTGGCTCGGCGTGGATCAGCCCCTCGCCCCCACACCCCCGGGGACCCTGCACCCCCAGGGTGCACTGGCCTGGGGTCTCCATGCCCGCGCGCTGCGAGGTGAGCCCCCGCGGGCAGCCCCCCCCCAGCTGCGTCCTGGGGTCCCCAGAGCCCGTCCCAAGGCCACCCTCACCCCCCACCCCGTTGAGGTCGCCTCCGCCCCAGGGGCGTCTGCCAGAGGTGGCAATGTGGGGGTACCCCCAGACCCAAATCTCGAAACCCAGAGCCTCCCAAAGCCACCCCGCCCCCTTCCTACCCTGCCCCCCCAAATAAACCCCAAACAATAGCTGGACACCTCTTACCTGTTCTCCGCTTCGCCCTGGGCGTCTCTTTCCCCTTACCCCTCGACGAACCTCGTCGGGAAGGGGGAGGGGAAGAATAACCGAGCGAAGCACCCCGTCAGTACGGCTGGCTGCGTAGGTACTGGGGCGCCCCGGGCCCTTCCCTGCCCACCCGCACCGGGGAAGAGAGGTGTGGGCTCCGCTCAGCCCGGCCGGGCCTGCTCACTCTCCCTCGGAATTACTGGGTTTTGCCGCGACTAGTTCCTTTTATAGATTCGGCTGCGCCGAGAGCCGGGGTTACTATCGGTCAGAGACTGCTCCCAGCCTGTCCCCGCCCCCTTCCCGGCCTCTGTTTATGTAGTTCAGTCACTCAGTGGAAAGCACGTGGAGCTGCAGCCCGCCCCTTAAATGGGCGACGACGCTTCAGTCCCCGCGGCAAGGTGGGGCTGGGCCTGGGTGGATCGTGGGGTCCACCGTCCACTCTCGGCGAGCGCTTCGCTGGCCCTGACCTGCCATCCCTGGCCAAGCAGGGAAACTCCAGGTTTGAGTTGTGACCTGAGGCTCCAGTCTGCATTCCTGGTAGCTGACTTAGCTAGAGGAAATCACTTCCTCTAAATCCTTTTTTCCCTCCTTTGTTAGTTTACTCAGCCCAAGAATTGGGGAAGGAAGAGAGCTGAAGGCTGAATCTCCCTCATATGCCAACCGCTTAGTCCCAGGCTTTTCTAGACCTAGATGATGGGGGAAGGGTGGACAGCCTGAATAACTGCCTGGTTTTTGTTTCTGCCACCAACTTTAACTTTGGTTTCAACAGGATACCTATCACCCTTGAGATTTTCAGATCCCTGGGGGGGGGGGGACAATGGAGAATGTCTTGCATATTGCAAAGAAATAGCAACACTGCAAAGAAAAAGAATGCAAAGGAACAGTGGAGACCAAAACCCTATTTGCTTTCACTATATTGTTTAGCATCATGTCAGACATGCCATGCATAAGACTTCCATTGATTTACAAAGCAGACCAAGTACAGCTAGCAAATAGCCTTGTACAATTAGTCATATGGTCATTCCAGTTCAGCTTTCTCCCTGGGCCTTGGCTTTGACAGTTGAGTAGAAAGAAGACTGACTGAAACATCTGAAAGACAGAAGCCAGAGAACATAGAAGCCCACATCCACATAAGGTATATCTAAATGCTTAAATCCAAACTGAAATAAATGGACAAGAATGTGGTGCAGTAGAACAGCTTTTCCCAACCATTTTTTTCCAAGCTCCATCATATTCCATAATTTGCCCTGTCTGCTGGTGAACCACACACACACACACACACACACACACACACACACACCTGCTCATACACTCTCCACAGCCAGCAGGTAGCTCTGAGCCACAACTTAAGCCCAGGTATACATATCAGAACATTCTGGACATAACCAGAAAAGGGCTTCAAGCAGGCCTAGAGGAATTATGGGACCTTAAGCACTCATAACTCTTGGTGTCTTGCCTATTTTTGTCCCACTGGATGCTTACTAAGCATGGCTCATTTTGAGGAGGGCCCGGGCTAAGCCTTCTGAAGTCCAGGCTCAGGAGAAGGATGGAAACCTCTTGCCTCACTCCAAGGACAAGCCCTTGGATGGGAGAGAGTGGGTTCTGGCATCAAACTAGACCAAACCAGATCATTTATAATTTAGGTAAAGCTTTTCTACTTCTATTTCTTCAATTTTAAAGAAGAAAGAATATGCTATCCCTGTCTCTCAGGAATATTTCCCAAAAATATTTGTTGAAATCTTTGAGCTCCTTGTAAAAAAGAAGGTACATATAAACAGAGCACACTCGTTCACTATCAGTGTCATTTTCAGATTCTCTCCCTCCCTCCCTCCTTCCCTCCTTTCCTCCATCTCTCCCTCTGTCCCTCTCCCTCTCCCCCCCTCCTTCCTTCCTCCCCTCCTCCCCTCTTTCTTTCTGCCTTGAACTCAGGGTCTTGATCCATTTAACTAAGACCACCTGTGCCATCAGGAATCTGGTCATCTCCCACAATGAAAACATGACTTCACTGTCCTGTTTGGAATATGTTTATGTTGATCTCTATTATCAAAAGAGCCTGAATCCTTCAAAAGGCCAAGTGTTTCTGCCAGCTTACAGAATAGCTTCGAAGCTCTTACAAAAAGAGTTCTGAATTTCAAAGATTAGACTGGTTTGTTCACAGTGTGCTTCAGTGAATTTTTCCTCCATTTTCTCATTCCTACAACACCAACACCCTAAGCTCCTATCCAGAAACCCTTCCCAAACAAGTGGAAAGGTCTTTCTGTCTTGCTGCTGCTCATGAGGAGCTGGTTCCATAAATGTAACCTGGGTAGCTTGAAGTTCTATTCTGAGATGACCCTGGCATCTACTTATAGAATTGACCTTCAGGCAGCTGTGGCCTTAGAGACCTTGCTGGAGGTCATAGAGCTACAGAGAAGTTCAATTTTATCATTCCAGTAGGGCTTTTAAGATTACCTAAAGTCCTTGCTTGGAGGTCGGTTGGATACAAACTGGCATCCATGCATTTATACACTGTTTAAAAAAGAGATTTTTTCACCATTTATGAGTTTTTTGCTTGGTGCAAATATATTTGACTACTGGAAATTAAAAATAATTTTAGTATTATAGAAAGCCAACAAATAAAAAGAAAGTATACTAATGTGATTTTTATCAAGCTGAATTTTTATGATTAAGAAGACCTATTAGTTGGAATCTTGAAAAATGAAAGAGCACTCAAGTTGTTTTTAATTTAAAAAAAAGGTAAACCATCTTTGAAATAAGGAGGAATAAAAAGAACTAGACTTAAATTTTGAATTAGCTTAATTCCAATACATGGTTAGATATAGGAACAGATCCTCAAGCAATCAATTATCAAATAAAATAATAAAAGCAACCACTAGTATATGTGGAATAGGCCATCTACTATGGATTTTTAATACATCTCAATTTAATTGGAACAGTGTGGTCTCATATATTGATGTGAATCCTATAAACAAACAAGCAAGATTCAAAACCATTATTGCTGCTGACTTGAGAAAGATATCTATTCTGTCATTTGGTCAACAACTTATATGCCTTGTAAACAGATAAATGTTCCTGAATTTCCAATTGATTATGAGTTATGTTATTCTTTCTAAAAGTCACCCTTCCAACCTTTCTTCCTTCAAGCTTTTCTTCACGTAAGAGCTAAACTTAACTAAATATTTAATATTTCATATCTATGACTCCTCTTTAATAACTTGCTCTGTAACTCTGAGTCTTTGTTCAAGCTTATTAATGTCAGAGAGAAAATATATTTTATATGATAAAATGCTTTTCATGTAGGAAATTGTGGAGAAAAGTATCTCAGTCGCAGACAGTCTGCTTAATTCTGATGACCTCTTTTAAGTCCTTAGGCTATTTGATCTCTGGTATTTGACACTATTGACCGCACCTTCCTTCCTGAAACTAGTTCTTCTCTTGTGTTTCATGAATTTGGTACTTTTCTGACCTACCTTTTTAACCTCTCTTTTTCTAACTCCTGTTCATATATATGTGTGTGTGATATGATTGATATGATATACTTGTATATTGCATGTGTGTATATGGCATACACCCTGTATGATATTTTATATCGTATATAAGATATGCCATGCATAGATGTGAAATGTCTATATGTCATATATATGATACATATACAACAATTTGTAATTGTATATACAACTATATATATAAAACATTCTAATACATTTTTAATATATATAATTCTATTTATGTTTTACCCTAACCATTATTATCTTGCTTTTTAGTGTCAATGAAGTGAGATGTGTATGGCTAGCCTACAACTTGCTGAGATACCAGATCTTGCTCCCCAGTGCACCAGAGAGTACAGAACAGGATCATCTGTATTGAGGGCCCATTTCCCTCCACCTCAGAAGGGCTGATTGTACACGTGTCTTCCCAGCTTCCTTAGTAACTAATGGCCACCCCACCTCCACTAGCTTGAAATCACCAGAAATGTTAAAACTTTCCATCAAGGTTAGAAATTGTAAATCAGGACTTACTTATTCCAAATAAGTACCTTTAGTTAGTTGTATAAAGGGGCTTCGATGTAACCTGTCCATGTATATATACAATGCATCTTGATCAATGTCACCCTTCCATTACTCTCCCCCTCCATCTATCTCATCCCTATTTTGTTTATGCATAGGTAAATTGGGTATAATGACTGTATTTACCTATCATTTCTCACTAAATTCATCTGCCTCCCTTTCCTTAGGGCCCACCTCCTTCAGAGAAGACACATTTCAGATTTCTGGTATTCATTTTGTTAAATTGTTACATCATTGAAAACCACCCATGAGTATACCATACTTTAGACAGTTTGGTCCTGCATAAATATGCATATTTCCCTGTCTGTGTTTCATGTATATTTACATTTTAGGTCTAACCTCCACTTATTAGAGAAAACATGAACCCTTTTTCTCTCTGAGCCTGACTTACTCCACTCTGTGACTCTTTTTCCAGTCCATACATTTCTCTGAAAATGACATAATACCTCCTCAAGTTTTTTTTAATCCATTCCTTCCTTTCTATCCCACTGCCCTGACAGATATCTGAACGTTTGTATTATGATACTCTCAAAATTGCTGTCCCTACCTCTAACTTCTTTTTGTCCTCTTTATCCTTCTTGCTTTCAGTGGTGTGTGTTTTACTTGGGGAGAGAGGAGTGGGAAACCAAGCAAATCAACACTAAAAACTTCCCAACAACAACAACAACCATAATCCTTCCCATGGTTGTCTTTTGCTTACAAAGAAAAAGTAACTCAAACACCCTTGGGAAGACCTATAAAGCTCTTTCAAAACAGGATAATTGAAGGTCTTTGAAGCTTCATTGCGTGCTCAAGCTCCTATCTCTATCCTCTTCCTTCCCCATTGCATCTTACCTGACCCTGTCTCACAATCTTACCATCTGTTTTCCAGGACTTGGAAACCCTTTTGTTCATCTCTACCTCAGTCATCTTGTTGTACTATTCCTTAGAATCAGGAAGCAAGAGGAAGAGATAGAGAAGCCACAATTCCTCATTAGATAGAAAGTTGTGTTACGACGTGCACATAAAGAAGAAACGAAGAGATCTTTAAATTATCCAATAGTAGACAACAATTACCACTAACTCAGATCTATTAGCAAGCATAAAGATAGATCCACAGAGGGAAGTCA